ACGAATTTGCACGGGTATTTTGACTTGACGCATCATCCTTCTGTGAATATAAATGTGGAATGAGACAAACTACGGAAAAAATAATACTTCGTAGTTCATAACTCGCTCCAAATCTTCCAAACGCAGAATTGGACTTTGTGTGGTTTATTGATAGAAAGTTCGTCTCGTGTTTATACTTACTGACATTATTTGCGACAAAATTAAACCAAATAAGATAGAAAGTATATACAATATTTATAAATTGCGACAGAAACTGCAATAAAATGTTACAAGAAATTAAGATGCGTTTTATTATGTCAATGTTTACCTAAATTTTGGGGGGGCTATAGGCCTCTCAGTTACACCACCACCCCACCACCCCACCATCCTGTTTTATACGCCTTTAGAATCATCTTGCGTTAACACAAAGCAGTTATGCATCTGCCGATTCGTTTTTGGGACAGTATGCTATTCGATTTGTATGCACAGTCGACACACAATTTTCAATTTTGCTTATAACTCTTCCGATAGAACTATTCTACATCACAGATAAACATTTCAAGCTTTTACATTCAAAGCCAGTGACAAAAGATGCCTGACTTTTAACATGTGACAACTGATAAAATTTTTAATAAGTTCCTATTTCCGTTCTTTCATAAGTTTACAGTCTCGAATTACCTATTATTTTCTTATGTAAGTTGCGGCACTTGCTTGTTGCATTAATTATAGTATGAGTTGTAATGAAATACAACTAAACAATAAAGATCACTTCTTAACTTGCTACAAGTGCTGCGTTTGTACAGAGTTATACTTGAAGACGAAAGAGGCCATCTTATCAAGTCAGCCACTTAATTCATTTTCACCCCTCCAAATTTAAATTTGTTCCTATAGGCCTATGTTTGCGTGTAAGTTTATTTTGCATTTGTGCAAATATTTAGATAGTAAAGTAATACTAATCTAAGAGTATCCTCAAGTTCTAATTATTCAGGTAAGAATTCCTGCATTTCAAAAATATTACTAATACTATTTCTATCAAAATGCGTCTCTAAGTTTTATCAATAGATTGTAACAACTATACTGTTTGGTAAATTGCCTAAAGCACTTATCAAAAGATAAGGAAAGATCATAATTTTAGATCATAATTTTCGCAGCAAAATCATTCAACTTAAATTCCTGATAAGGCTAACTTACCTGAAGGAAGTATCGTCACGTGATTCAAAATTGTTTTGTATGGAGCCAAAAACAATTTTAGAAATACAAGTGTTTTTGCTTTTGTTGTTAATTTTGTTGTGATGTTCAAAAATACATCATTCTTTCCATGCATTTTTTGGAAGTTTTTGTTGCTTCTAATTTTATATGGGGGACTGCTCTGATGTGTACCACAGGTCTTTGATGACCTGTGTATGAAACGATCCATATTAACATAGCTGGACTTTTTAATTCTTTTTTTGGTTTTGATTTCAATATCATCTTTGAATCTAAAAAAATTCAAATTCAACTTGAATCAATGTGTGTGGTGCATACCAAAATAGGTTTTTTACAAATGACTAGCTTTCATTATATTTGGAGCCTTGCAATGAATGTTATTAAAATGATTAATTGCAACCCACACCTCACATTCTACCGTGGCAACTATGCTAGCATAGTTACCTAGGTAGTTGATAAGGGGGGGATATTTCAAATTGTTATTTTCCGTGCTCTCGCCTACCGCACATTAACAGAATGAACAAGCTAATGCTGCTTTGATAGAAAAACTCTAATAAATAAAATTTTCTAATAAAGAACCTTTGAGTTTGTAATTTTTCAATTGAACAAGAAAGCAAATTTCTCTGTTTTTTAAATTTGGAAGCTTTTGAACGCAATATTGAAAAAGTCCGCAAATTTTGTTGTAACTATATAAAGTAGAGATTAATGGATAGTGCAAAGTTTCTCAGAAAAAATGTTTCTAAGTATGGCAAATAAAATTAGTTTCAAGAATGCTTAGTATCGAACCTTGGACAGGGGCGGTCCATGAGATTATGAAAAAGAGGGCCGATCTCCTTGAATTTAATTGAAAACGGAAACTATCCTGTCTTTTTTTGTTATCATTTAACTTTTTTTGGTTTTTTTTCTAGCAAAAGGGGGGGGGGGGCGCTGCCGCTTCGCCGTTTGTTTCTTGACGAATAGCCTTAAACGTAAATAAACCTTAATTTCGTATTTGCACTTACATAGCGTATACATAATAAGGACATTTGGCACGCCACAATCATACATTCGTCATTCATGCATCGCATTCTTTTTTTTTACTATGCAGTATACAACTTAAAAATTACGAAATCACTCATGATTTACTTTCATTGTTTCGGTTATGTTGTATTTTTGGATTCTTCTAACACATATGCGAAGCTTATGTGTTCGGAAGAATAAATTGCTTTGTTTGCGATATTTTCTAGCGCAAAATTCCACCTAAATAATAAGGCAACGAGCAGTAAAATGCAACGGTATTCAATAAATATTTACGTAGTACAATTTGCATCATTTGATGAATAAGTCCAGTTTTTGGCAAGTTTGCGTGAATGAACATTCATTTCGTATTTGCACTTTCGTAACGATTACATGAAAGTCGACAAATTAATAATGTCTTACATGACTTTGTCATATTGTTCTAAAGCACACCACTACTAATATCAAAATTATAAAAATCTTCCAAAGGCAAAATTGGAATTTGTTTAGTTTATTAATAGATAGTTCGTCTCGTGTTTATACTTAGACGTATAATCTGTTAGACGGATCATTCCTCCATGCAGATGATCCGTCTCTAGTATGAAAATTGACCTATACTAAAAATTAACAAAGACATGATCCTGATTTTGCAATCGTGACTTTTGCTCATTAACGATTTCCACTAAATCATTATTGGAGTTCCTACATTCTGTATTATTGGTAAATAGCAAAACAACTACATGCATCTTAGCATTTATCACAAGTTCTTGAACTTTTTATAAGAACTTTAAACTTTCCTGTTCAACCTGAGCTCTAGTTCATTCGCATCAAGGTGTATCAATTCAAAATATTGCTATTTGGTACAACGCTCGAATTACTTTTTCCAAAAAGACATCAATCACTGCAGTTCAGAATGAAAGAAAATCTTGTCTCGCACAAAGGTTAATTAGAGGGTAGCATTTTGGAGAGCGAATCCTACCATAAGTCAATGAAATGGGTGAGGCTTTAGGTGATTATCCTGACATTAATTACGACAAAATTATACCAAATAAGATAGAAAGTATATACAATATGTATAAATTGCGACAGCAACTGCAATGCCCACAAATTGTTGGTATGTTACAGTCCACAAAAGTCAGATCGATCATGTTAAGCTCTATGTTTTTTTTGTAAAAAATTATCTTGATTGCACTATACTTTGTGTTGCAGTTTTTACTCCTTTGCGCGTTAACACAAAGCAGTTATGCGTCCACCGATTCGTTATTTGAACTGTATGCCATCCAATTTGTATGCGCAGTCGACACACAATATTGTTTAGTAAATTGCCTAAACGACTTATCAAGCGCAGCAAAATCATTCAACTTAAATTCCTGATAAGGCTAAATTACCTGAAGAAAGTATCGTCACATGATCGAAAATTTGTTTGTGTGGAGCCAAAAACATTTGTAGAAATACAAGCGTTTTTGTTGATGTTGAACATTTTGATGTGATGTTTAACAAGACATCATTCTTTCCTTGTATTTTTTGGAAAGTTTTTACTGTTTATACTTTTTTATTGTGGACTGTTGTGATCTTTACCACAGGTCTTTGATGTCCTGTGTAATAAACGAGCCAATTTAAGATCGCTGGACTTTTTTTCCCGTTTTTCGTTGGGATTTTAATATCATCTTTGTTTCATTTGATACAGGAATACCCATTTAACACCATTATATTTATACCAAAGAAATAAACGTGTTTACTCGAAGGTCAAGAGTTGCACCTGCTCGAGTAAGTCGAGAGTTCTCACAAACGTCTCCGAGGTTTGCGTAAGCCAGTGCAAACACGAAAAACATCTTTCATTTTTTTTATAAAATACAATAATGCGAAACAGACAATTTTAAAACAAACGTTTTAATTTTTTCTCTTAAGAGTGTTCATGATCGATTCGCAAATTCTCTTTGACTGATTGATTGTTTTGATTGATTTGATTTGTGGAGCTCAGATCTGTTTTGAACAGGCTAATGCAAACACGGCTAGAGACCAATCGCCGCACGCGTTTTATTGTTTTTGTTTTATAAATGTGGTTATTTTATTTTATAATGAGGCTGTCGTTCATCACGAGAGAGTTATGAGAAAGTTACTTTGTAAAAGGGAACAAGTTAAAAACGTTTAAACATGCTTAGAGTTGGTTTAAATTATAAGTCAAAAAGGCAGAAGTTGTCTGAACCTTTGCAGTATACTTGGATGTTCTAGCTTCTTTTATGAGAAGAACTCTTGTAAACAAAAAGATAAAATTCGAAAGCATAAAATCCCGCTTTAGGTCCATGCTTCCCGATACCCTCTTAATCGTTGGGCACTAGCACACCGCATGTTAACGTTTTGGTAGGATATTTCGACCTCTCCACGTTATCCTATTTGGGAATACCAATATAACAAGCTTCTGCCCCGAGATCGCCTGGGATAGGCTTTGCTCGGGGTGCGCAGGGAGAAGGCGAGCGCGACCGAAGTCTGGGCCCCTAAGCCACTGCATACTTAATCGCACCAAGCTTCCACTGCCAGTTGACACCTACTATATAAAGTATTACGAAAGTTGTCGTATGATTGACATCATTACCACGCATGCTCAGAAGATTTCTTTGATAATTTGCGACTAAGTGAGCTATTTGCCATGAATTTAGTGCAAATGCACCAGTTAGTCGTTGCTATGACTATGGACAATTAGTCGAGTGGACTGTGCATGCTCGAGCGCACGCGCAGATGATTTTTCTATTAAATTGTTACTAAGCATAATATTTATTTCAAAATCTGTGCTGAAAGATACAGTTGGTCGTTACCATGCACTTGTTTTGACAAATGCATTTCAAATTCATCAACACTTTGTTACGCAACTCGTAATATCTGTGACAATGTTAGAGATGGTTATATTTTTCTCCATAACTTTGTATCTGCATATTTTGTGCAGAAGCAATGCTGTAATATTTATGACAGATATTATAACTTGTGACTGAGGTAGAACAAATATTTGATAATGAAACTTCAAACGGTGACACAAAATCAGGCATTTCATATAATGACAGTTATAAAACTGTGTTCCACAATACATTGATTATTTTCACCGAGAAAATAATCAATGTTGACGTGCTGCTTTAAACGTAGTTCGGTTGATGGGCTTTGGATTAAGTTTTCTTTGAGAGGTGGGAATGGTTGATCGAAGTCGTCTGCTCATTAATGCTTGCGCCGGAGTTACACCGTCAATAGGAGTATTACGATAATCTAACAACGCGAGATATGGATCTTCGCCGTTGGCTTTGCATTTCTTTAGAATATTCTTCATTGTTTGCACTGTCTTCTCATGTAATCCGCCAGACTGTGGATATCTCGGACTTATGGTGTTGTGACAAAAATTATAGTCTTTTGCAAAATATCTGTATTCTTCCGACGAGTATTGTGGGCCATTGTCGGACACTACAGTTTCTGGGATTCCATGACGACTGAATATGGACTTTGTCTTGTTAATAATTGTTTGTGCTTTCGTGTCTCGAAGTTCAGCCACTTCGGGATACCGGCTGTAATAATCAACAACTATTAGATGTGGTTTTCCATTCCAATCAAAAAGGTCAGAGCCAATTTTTTGCCAGGGACGACTGGGAATATCGTGTGAATTCTCGTTGATTGGCATTTGCGTAGTACTGACATGTTGAGCAGTTTGACACTAGCTCTTCTAGAATATGCTGGCCAGAATATGCTCTCTCTAGCCAGTCTCTTGGTCTTCTCAGTACCATGATGCGATTGATGCAGTTTCTGGAGTGTATCAGCTTGCAATGTTGGTGGAATCAGGATGTGTTGTGGCTCTTGTAGATAAGACCATCTTCCGTTGTCAGTTCTTCACGGTATGGATAATAAGGTTTTAACTCAGTTGGTATGAAAATCTTATGAAGTGGCCATCCGTCTTGTATCTGCTGTACCTAGAGTTGCATCGTCTTGTCTTTGCGGATTTCATCTTTGATAGCTTGAAGTTTCCGGTCTGTGACGTAAGACTTTGATGACATCAGATGGATAAATCTTTCTGACGCGATGTCTTCAAATTGTTCATGTATAATCTCGGGAGGAAATGCACGCGAGAGCGCATCAGCTATGTACATTTCGCTTCCTTTCTTTTACACCAAATTGATATCGTAGGATTTCAGCTGCATCAACATTTTCTGGAGGCGACTGGGTGCTTGAGATAGTGGTTTTCGGAATATTACTTCTAGGGGTTTATGGTCGCTTTCAATGGTTATGGTTTCACCGTAGACATATTGATGGAAGCGTTTGCAGGCAAAGACGACAGCTAGCAGCTCCTTCTCAATCTGTGCGTAACGTCGTTGTGTGTCATTCATGGCTTTTGATGCGTAGGCTACTGGACCCTGGTCTTGAATTAAAGCAGCTCCAAGGCCATTCTGTGAAGCGTCGACCTGGAGTATCACTGGTTTTGCTACATCGTAATAACGGAGAGTAATAGGATGAGTTAGTAAATGTTGTAGATCTTGAAATGCTTTCTCATGTGTTTCATGCCAGTGGAATTCAATGTTCTTCTTTATAAGCTCTCTCCGTGGAGCGGTGACGTCCGAAATATTTGGTGCAAACTTGGCGATGAAATTACCCATGCCCAACAATCGTTGGACGTCCTTCTTGTTTTCTGGTTTGAGGTAGTTCTTGATTGCTTCAACCTTACTCTCATCAGGTTTGACACCATATGCTGTTAGCGTTTCTCCAAGATATGTTATCTCGGTTTGCCGAAACTGGCACTTATCCTTGCTTAGTGTCATATTGACGTCTGCTACACGATTGAGAACACGCTCCAGATTGCGATCGTGTTCCTCCATTGTCCGTCCCCTGATTAGTATATCGTCGATATCTGTTTCGCATCCCGGTAGATGCTGAAACTTCTCGTGTACTGTTTTATAGAACACCTCTTGTGCGAACATTACTCCAAAGGGTATTACAGTAAAACGATATCGACCAAATGACGTATTAAACGTCGTCATGTAAGAGCTCTCCTCGTCAAGAGGCATTTGCCAAAATCCCGAGTTTGCATCCAGTTTGCTGAAGAATTTGGCATTGGTCAAACGGCTGGTAATCTCTTGCTGGATGGGAAGCTGGTAATGTTCTCTGAGCAAAGCTTTGTTGAGGTCACGTGGATCGATGCAAATGCGTAACTTTCCAGAGCGTTTTTCATTAACTACCATCGAGTTGACCCATGCTGTCGGCTCATTCACTTTCTTAATTATTCCTTTGGATTCCATATCTATTAGCTCGTTGTGGACACGTTCTCTCAGTGCTGAATGTGTATCCCCTTGTAATGTGTATCCATATTTTTTAGTTCTATTGTTGATGGTGTATAAACGTGAAATTTTAAGTTTGTTTCATGATGATAATATGCAACTCTGTTATCATCATTCGTTTTTGCAAGTTTTCTGCTAGTTGAGGAGCCATAGGGCGAGAAAAGCCACACCCGACATACAATGGGTGACGAAACTGTAAAAGTCCAGGTTATATTTCGAGTTGATCCAACGATTATTTCAAACGTATTTCATCACGTCATAGTTTCGTAGGAAGCAGAAGGGCTGAAGGAGCTTTACTCTTGTGGAGTTTATAATTGGATTAGATTAGTGTCTTTCTGAAAGTGGTGTAAAAAAGTTACTGCTTGGCCAGATTTATGCTAACGACTGATCTTCTATCTGGACAAACTTAAGCAAGCAAAACATAGTTCGTCTTCAAGTTCGTCTGTGTGTATATACGCGCAAACTTACAGATCATCCGTCAAGATGCTTACGAATTATTTGAGTAGTTTGTTTATTTAGACGAATTTGCACGGGTATTTCGACTTGACGCATCATCCTTCTGTGAATACAAATGTGAAACGAGGACAAACTACGGAAAAAATGATACCTCGTAGTTCATAACTCGCTCCAAAATCTTCCAAAGGCAAAATTGGAATTTGTGTAGTTTATTAATAGATAGTTCGTCTCGTGTTTATACTTAGACGTATAATCTGTTAGACGGATCATTCCTCCATGCAGATGATCCGTCTCTAGTATGAAAATTGACCTATACTAAAAATTAACAAAGACATGATCCTGATTTTGCAATCTTGACTTTTGCTCATTAACGATTTTCACTAAATCTGACATCATTGATAGTTATTCTTCAAGGCAATATCTATATCATTATTGGAGTTCCTACATTCTGTATTATTGGTAAATAGCACAACAACTACATGCATCTTAGCATTTATCACAGGTTCTTGAACTTTTTATAAGAGCTTTAAATTTTCCTGATCAACCTGAGCTCTAGTTCATTCGCATCAAGGTGTATCAATTCAAAATATTGCTATTTGGGTACAACGCTCGAATTACTTTTTCCAAAAAGACATCAATCACTGCAGTTCAGAATGAAAGAAAATCTTGTCTCGCACAAAGGATAATTAGAGGGTAGCATTTTGGAGAGCCAATCCTGCCATAAGTCAATGAAATGGGTAAGCTTCAGGTGATTATTCTGACATTAATTACGACAAAATTATACCAAATAAGATAGAAAGTATATACAATATGTATAAATTGCGACAGCAACTGCAATGCCCACAAATTGTGGGTATGTTACAGTCCACAAAAGTCAGATCGATCATGTTAAGCTCTATGTTTTTTTTGTAAAAAATTATCTTGATTGCACTATACTTTGTGTTGCAGTTTTTTCTCCTTTGCGCGTTAACGCAAAGCAGTTATGCGTCCACCGATTCGTTATTGGAACTGTATGCCATCCAATTTGTATGCGCAGTCGACACACAGTATTGTTTAGTAAATTGCCTAAAGGACTTATCAAGCGCAGCAAAATCATTCAACTTAAATTCCTGATAAGGCTAAATTACCTGAAGGAAGTATCGTCACATGATCAAAAATTGTTTTGTGTGGAGCCAAAAACATTTGTAGAAATACAAGCGTTTTTGTTGATGTTGAACATTTTGATGTGATGTTCAACAAGACATCATTCTTTCCTTGTATTTTTTGGAAAGTTTTTACTGTTTCTACTTTTTTATTGGGGACTGTTGTGATCTTTACCACAGGTCTTTGATGTCCTGTGTAATAAACGAGCCAATTTAAGATCGCTGGACAAAGAAAAAATAAGTGTTTCATCCATCGAAGTATTTCACGATTTTCAGGTGTGTTTGCGGGTAGACTATGAATCTTAATTAGCATGAATTTTTGCACTTAGCATGAATTTTTGAACCTAGCATGAATTTTTGAACTTAGCATGAATTTTTGAATTTAGCATGAGAATTTTTGAACTTAGCATGAATATATTTGAATTTAGCATGAATTTATTTGAACTTAGCATGAATATTTTCAGTTAGCATAACCCTGTTGAAAGAATGCAGGGTTAATCAGGATGAAAAATATTTTAAAATATTTCTTAACTTTTAAACAATAAACATACCAAATTGACATCGAAAATTCTTATATCAATTATTTTGAAAAACTATCACCACGCAGATTTTGTTTATTCGTGTTTTTTTTCACACAGCCCGTAACAGTAACATTACATTAGCAGTTACCAGTGAAATTAATTGGCGTTCTTGTGATTGGTTTCTTTACGCAATAAGTACTGAATTAAGTACTTTTATTTTATGCTTGTACTGTTTTTATTTTTCCATAAAGTTTTAACACACATATGATTTGGTGTATGTAAACTGTAAGAATGATTTCATAAGAAAAATACTGATTACGTTCCATTTCATATATAGCGATCTTGTACATTGTTTTATCCCTGGTTAAATGTTTTAAATTTAAATGAATGTAAAATTTTAAAGCGACTATGAGGAAAGACTTGTTAAATTGTACAAGAAATTTGCTTTAGTTAACAAAATAGTTATCGTCTTCTGTCTTCAGCACTTTCCGTCGATCCCGAACGTTTAGCTTTATCTTTAAATGCTAAAGCCTACATCAACGTGCCATTATCCATGTGAAAAAATTTCATAAATTGAAGATTCTCATAATGTTATCACATCCATACTCAAAGGAAATTGAAGAGAAGTGTTCTTGATCCTGCAAAACTAATTCTCGCTACATATCCGGCAATTTTTGTGTTGTTTTTTGATGATACTATGATAAGTAGCGTAGCTAAGTTCTGAAAAAATAATGTGACCCGATTTTGCCAAAACTTAAAAAAATAATTTGTGCATTTACTTTCGAATCTTACCCTGCTTCAATCCAGCAGGTTACCTAAGGACCGAAATACTTTTCGAACATTTGCGTTAAATTTTGTGTAATGTTATAGAAATCTCTTGTTCGAAGATCACACTGTAAGAGATCTGAAAACCATGTTGCATAATTAGTTACAGCTACTTCCACATCAATTTTAAGTTTCTTGACAGGTTTTAAAGCTCTCGTACAGTTTGGTAAAGTTGTGGATATTAAAACACAACAAAAACCATATAGGCATGTACATGTAAAATGTACGTAAATTTTGTTTAGTGTATAGTTATATTTATAGTTAACCGCAGGCCGTTACGAAGGACAGGGTGTGCGGGCGTGGGACACACTCAAGTAATATTTTCGGCTAAATAAGGCTTGTTTAAACATGTACGTAAGCGTGAAAAAAAAACTAAATCTTATTTGTGTTGAATAACCATGTGGGTGTAGTTCCTTTCAGAAGACCACGCCGTATAACCACACCCATTTTCGAAAAATTTGATTTTCAACTCTTCGACACGGCCTTTGGTTAAGTCATACTCAAGCTTTCGTATTTTATTGTTTTCATTTTGTTTTGAAATTTCATGTTTTATATAAGTAATATGTGTTTGTCTATAGTGTTGAAGATATATTCAATGTAAATGTCATCATCTCTTACTTACACTTGCATTGAAAGTTTCCAATAATAGAAAAGTGTAAATTTTCAATCTTTATTTTGTCTTAATTTTTTTGTGCAAGCGTGGATTCGATAAGCTGCGTGATTTTACACCTTTCGGCATTTGCTTTGTTGTGTACGACTTTGATAAAGTAGGTCAGGTTAATATTTTTGTCAAGTAAAGTAATCAGTTTAATGGACGGTTAACCCCTTCAAAAAATAAAAATTTTTTAGACTTTTGATACCGAAGCGAATCCACGTTTGAAGTCCAGCATTGTAACACTGTAGATAAAGTACTGTTTTCAAAAAATATATGTTAACAAAAATACATTTAATTGCTTGACTTGGATCGTGATCCAGCAATCTTTTCCTTAATATTTTGTTTTATGATGATTTTGGTCTTACACATGCAGCAACTAGTTATTGTTCGGAATTTGACATGAATTTTTTTCTGTTTTCATTGGATTACGCTCTCACACAACAATGACGAGCTACATACGATGGCCTTATTCATCTATAGAATGCATGGCACTATTTGTCACTATCACGACATACAACGATCCTTTTCATGCTATCGTATAGCACAAACAACGGCCTATATATGACTAGGCATCGACTTGATGTATTAAATCGGTGTAATAGTCCAGCTGTTAATGACAAAATTCTTCACTTTGATGATACAAGTATGAAACTTTCTCACATTCTTACTATGCCTAGTAACACATAATTTTGATATAGGGCCAGCCCATATTTTACATTTAAAACGAGTTCTGCGAATGTCGTGTTTGATGACGTCATCGGTAGTAAAAAAAGTAAAGTTCAGAGAAATCTACAATTTCCCTGTATATTCTTATACAACAGCTAAAGACGATAAAAAAACTATATTACAACTTTTGCTTTTGAGCAATACATTCTGAAATATTCTACATTAAAACAGTAATATTAAAATAATTTTAATGCCCTCATGTTATTGACAATCACCCCCACAATTACACAAACGAGTACAAACTAAATGTGCTTTGACGCATTTACAACGACTAGAACATGAACTTTCGCATCCGCAACAAATAAGTTCATAACAGGCATCTTTAACTTGAGGGAGATTTGTCCACTTTGGTAACCAAGAATTTTCAACACGGTACCAGCCCCAACCTAACGGAGTTGGTATAACCTGCTCTTTCAAGCAGCACTGCCCCCAGAAAAATCCACCTTGCAACAATGCACGCTTGGTGTGCTGAAGCAACACTTCTTAGGTTGGTGGAATGTTATCCAGTGTTCAGGACTTTTTGGCAAACAACTCTTGTCTAGCTTCATTGACATAAGAGGACCACATATCGCTCAATCACCTGCAAAACATTATATGAATCATAATAGAGACCTTATTTGATAGATAATACATGCCTTTGGCGGTTTCTGAATTACCTGCAAGGACGAACAATCAGTCCTTTATGGCAACAAATTTAGCTCTTGCAACGCTAATGTTAGCTCTGGAAATACATTCCATACATCCCATGCTGTTTTCTTTCCTCGACCTCCAAAAAAGGAAACAGTAACCTTAACCCCGTTTAAGTGTGAAACAACGGTAGAACAGATGCCTTGTCAGGTCCGATAATCGATGCAATTGTATGCGCGGGAATATAACGTGAGTGCTTTCCTGTGCCATAAAGAATCCATAATTCTTCTGCTTTGATGTTTTTCACATTGAAATGGCCAGTATCAATACGTCAGTATCATTTGTTCTTACAACAATCCTCTGGTGGCCGCAGTCACTTGCATCTAACACGTGCACCATCAATCGTGTGTCAGCCTCTTCATGATTACATGGTTCCAACATTGATACTTCGGTTCTTTTAGGGAAATAACTTTCTGCGCTAAAAAATTGTAAAGATCCATTTTGTTGGCACCTACACGCAGGAAGCCCTTCCAGTCAGTAGGGATACGTGCTGTCGATGAAACCTTGTGGCGTTGACCAAAGCCTCTCTTCTCCCGTGCGTTTCTTTCAGCGAATCCTCTTTGTATACATCCCACTCTAAATCAATTCTTTTAGCTGATTGAAATTGCTTTAACACATAAGGAATGAAAGCAAACTGAGCGTACTCTTCGAACGTTTCCCAAGTTCCAGGTGAAATCATTTGAACAACAACAGTCCGGTCTAAAATAATAACATCGGGAGTTGGTGACTGAACTTTGGTAGTCGGCTCGATACACTTTGTCAAGTCTGCTTTATTACCAGTACTTAAACTTCCTGCTTGTGAGAGAGATGGTGGCCATGGTTGGTTCTCATATTTAAAGAAATCATCGAGATCACCACTTCGATTTTGACTTGCTATATACAATCTTGAAAATAAAGCACAGTCTAGTTTCAGAGTTTGTATATTTACTTTATCTTTTTGATGAAACTCTTTTTCTTCCTGTTTTAAACGTTGGCAGATTATTTTTTTTCAACGTTTTAGTAATACTCTTGCTTCTCTCAACAAATCTTTCTTTAACAAATGCTTGATATTTTTCTTCTCCAAGGGTTACAACATTCTTCACCGTGTCAACAACGGAACTGTTCATCACGTCATTTGTGTGGATGGCAAATAGGTCCTCGCTCTCTTCTACAAAAGGATTCCCCATCGCTTGAAAATTGGAGACGACATTTGAGACATCTTTATAAAATTCTCTTTGAATGGATGGAGTTTGCTCATGGTGTAGCTGACTGTCTACATGTGTACTCATCTCGAATTCCCTAATTATTCGTGCTATTTCTGGACCTGCAATCATCCATCTCCTTAAAGCTGAAAGGTTTTCGGTTAGTCCCACAGCACCACCTTCTCCCTTTACCACTGCATTAACTTGCTCGTGAGCATGATCTAATGCTATAGCTGAAAACTGTTTCTTCGTTTTATGCACCACAAACGAGAACTGAGAGAAGTGGTTAAAGACGTCAGGGTGTTTGAATTGAAGCTCCGAAATATCACGGATATGGACAGAAAGCCATCTAGCATAATTAACATTGTCCAAAGCAAACATCCACGGGACAAGTTGCTTAATTGACCTGAAGTATAAGGAGAAATTAGCTTCCCTAAATGATCGCACTAGTTGTAAACAGAGTAATTCTAGTTCCAAAACTCTGGTCCAATACAGAAACTGAGGATGATCCTTTGACATATCTTCTTTCCAAATGTGGAATTCTTTAGCTTCCCCATTGTCAACTTTTATGAGATACTCCTTATAGGCATCTTGTTGTAGGTAGTAAAGACTGGCTGCTGTAACTTGACGTGCGCGTCTTGTTCTTGCCACACGACTGCAAGCGATGATTGACTGTACAACACCTTGGTTAGCTATACACGCGTTAGTCAAAATTTCGGTCCAGCCACTCCCATCAAGCCATTTCCCTAGAACTTTAAAAGCTGTCATCTCAATGTGTAAGCCACAAAACATTACCACAAATTTATCTTCTCCATGACTGTTTGCAAGAGTCCATTGAATTTGCTTGGCTTAAGCAAATAGGGGCTGGTCTACGGCGATAACTGGAGTTTGAGAGTAGTTGACATGACAAACAGCTTATTTAACAACATTCATTGAATGTAATATCATCGCAATGAATGAGCATTCTCCCGAAACATTGGGAGAAGTGCAATGATTGCCAGTTCGTAAGAGGTTGACGACGTTTTGACGCTTGATATGCTGCCCATGAAAAGTGTAGTCCTTACTCAGGTCTTCCTTTGAACGAGATGTCGCACATGTTCAAGCCAGTCTTCCTCCGGATCTTGCCTTTGTTGACGGTGGTAGACACAGTTTGCATAACGGTATGAAGAGGAGGGGCATAAAGTTCGCCACATGTTAGAGTCACTGGTGGGACATTACAAAATGATGGTGGAAGCTGTGAAATTTCTTTGGAACTAGAAATAGACGAATCAAATAAGTCTACTTCTCTACTCTCACCATTTTCATGAACTGTTGGATGCTGCACGAGCGAAATTGCTGTACCGTGGAAAGAGTCTTGTGCACTTGTGGAGCTGGGATTATGATCTATGTTGTCAACTGCTGCAGTTGTAAAGAAATGTGAATTAAAAAAAAAAAAAAAAATTCGGCATGTTTTTATATAATAGATACACGAGTAATTAAAAAAGTCAATATTTACTTTACACTTGATACTTTCATTTGTGAGACAGGGAGTTGAAGTTTTAGACGTTTTCGTGACTTTTATAGAATATTTCTTCTTTAATAGCAATCAACGTCTTTCGCTTTGACAAACAAACATACAGGAGCTGTCAACAGCGTAAAGATAAAACTTAGTAAAGATAAAACTTAATAATTATATCATTTTTTAAGTTGGCAAAAATAAGATCTATTTTCTGGTTTATCCTTACTTGCATGCACATCTAAGAATTAGTAAAGCATTTTTCATGATAAATTGCGTTATGTTTCAGCTTAGTCGAAAAAAAATTGGCAATACTTCTTCTTAGAAACGCCCCAATTTCAAACATTTCAACTTTTTTTTATCTTAAGTTGTGTATATGCAAGAATAGTTTTGCTAAATATCAGTTAATTCGAATAGATTCCATCACAAAGAACTTGTAGAGCAATAGCGCCAAAAGGCACGATAAAGCTTTGCTAATTGAGCTCAGATATAATATCTATAATGTGGGTGACTAGCGGGCATTAGGCGACCAGCCAAATTGTTATTTTACTTAAAATCAAAAGAATCATGATTTTTCGCGCAGGTGAAATACTACAAAGAGTTAAATTTTCACATACACCATCCAAAATTTAAGATTTTAAAACTTTCCTAGTTTTTTCTAAAAATAATAGAGGTTCTTCATATTTTATAAGGCTACCACCATGTAGCGGTCACGGACAGTTCTACTGTTTTGAGTGTGCGGAACCCTTCATCGAACGAGGAATGTTTTCCATTTGGTTGAAGCATGGAAGGTAAGCTTAATTCTTTCTGGCGGCACAGATGAATCCCTATAAAATTTGCCTGCCAGCAAAACATAAACAAGTTAAGTCGTCTATTAGAAGGCAATTCTAGGTGATTATTTCCAAAAGTCAATTCTTCAGATGAAATATTTTTGCTTTTTACATTTGGAATTTGGCTTGTTAAGGTCTAGTATTCATCAAATGCTGGCAATTTTTTACAACCATGTCTTAACTCTAAAGTAACTTAATCTGTAGTATTTTGTTAAAACTATCAATCATTTTCAAGAAGGATATGCTGCTATATGCTGTGCATGGTGCCTTATGGAATGTATACATGTTCTGATGCTTAAATAACTACTCTTTAGACTGATTGTGAAATGTTTGTTCCATTACGTTTTGGTGGTATATGACGGGACAGTC